GTGGCAGTTGTCAACGCACATGGTGGCCATACACGCTACTGAACTTGTGTGCCATCAGATTCTCGTGCTTGGGACTTATGATTTAAAACGTTGATGTTATTACCGAATACCGTAGGTGCTTGGAACAAATTATGGTTACCACCGTTAATTAAAATCCTTCTTTGGACATTAATGATTAAAAATTACCTTCTCTGATACATTTGTCCGTTGTATATCATATATGGAATTACTTTAAAAAATGTGAGTTTTTAATTTGACTCAATATACATAGCTACTCGTTTTACTGATTTATATGCAATAGAATTTTTTTTAGATCAATTGGATATACGAAATAAGGAATGTATTATTTATGAGTGGATGGTCTCTCGTTTAGATGGTCTCTCGTTTGGATTTAATAAGAAAATAATTATTAAATTTAAAAAGAATAAATGACACGTATCGACAAAATTGGCATGAACATTCAAATATACTCAGCTGCAAACTGATAAATATTTAACTATGATACATGTTACAGTATTAAGAACATTTTGAATATTCACAATTTCCTTACATACATTTCTAGTAAATATATTTCTTAGATCTAACGATATTCAAGTTGTGAATGGTACACACGACGAGGTAACGTATGTTAGATACAAGAGATGCCTCTAATACACGCAAATGCCCTAATACAGGCCGGCACCCATGAATATCCGGGGTGGTTGGTTGGTTGGTTGGTTGGTTTGTTGTTTAACGCCGCACTCAGCAATATTCCAGCTATATGACGGCGGTCTGTAAATAATCGAGTCTGGACCAGACAATCCAGTGATTAATATCATGAGAATCGATCCCAACCATTGGGATGGATGACATGCATCAACCAAGTCAGCGAGCCTGACCACCCGATCCCGTTAGTCGCCTTTTACGACAAGCAAAGTCACCTTTTACCCGCAAACATGGGTTGCTGAAGACCTAGTCTACCCCGGAATCTTCACGGGTAGTTGTGAATGAAGTATGTAGAAAATGTAATGGTTACATCGAAGATTAATTTCATATTTTGTTATGTTATAGTTATCAACATCTTAAAAGAACATATCCTCCTCAATTGTGTACAAAGTTTAACGATATGAAATTGATGATTATTCTCAATTGAGAAAACATCAATTATTAGGATCATGCATATTTGTAAAAACAATTCTGTAATTTAGACATGTTTCACAAATTTATGAGATTAAGTAAAGGATGTACGTAAAAAAGTATGTTTAAAATCGATTACTAAATAAATCAAGAATTATCTATCATGTGTACTCGGACCCCATGGTACCGCGGCATTCATCGTATCGCGGCATTTGTGATTTCCGATAGTTCACGCGGGACACGCCTCTTAGCGGCTGTCTATTAATGCAAATCAGTAACCAGGAAGTGCTCACTTCGTAAACAATTTAATTATTGACTTTTTAAAAGAAATTGAATTGTTGCTAAAATTTTGATTGATATGTTTTGTATATAGTATAGTTTTTATAATTGGTAAAATAAATTTGTTAACTGTGATTGTTAGTGGCTGTATCCTCGAAGGGGGTTGAAGTAGTGTAAAATTATTGTCCCCCTGAGAGGGTATGTAAGACCACGTCTTTCAAAGTCTATTTATTTCTACCACGTTCTTAATAGTAGTATATATGTTCATTTAACTTTGGCTAAATTTGTCATACTCGCCAACAGCTAAAGGGATAATGTAAATCCAGCTGGGGTCCATGCAGGTAGCAAAAGTACTGTAAGTCCCCATGGACCCTAGCATGGTGATCTACCTTCAGCTGCTGGCGATCTATAGCCTGTTTTTATCTTGTATCGTTAGGTATAGTGCTATTCTCTTTTATAATTCCGTACTAGTTTTATATCTTTTTCTGTGGTGAATCTAGTAATTTTACTGTCCTTCGTTGACAGGTTTTTATACAAGTTTCAATATATGTATTATATTTAACTATTGATAGTCACGATATGGCTGAAATATTGCCGATGTGACTTAAAATTTAACTCACTCACTCACTCACACTCGTTAACAATTTCAATTTCCTCGGGATGTTCCGTCTGCTGTAAGTAAGGAGTTATTAATGTGTTGATATTTACTTCTGGCATCATTTTAATATATATAACCCGCAGTTCCCCAAGTAAACTTTCTCTATCGACCTGAACAAGATCATCTGCATATTCATGGCGACTAATGAGATTACGGAAGTTACGTAGTCCGCACATTTTTTCCCGATCTGTGCCCAGAATCTATTGGGAGATCATAAGGGCCATAATGCCAAACTTAGAAATACGTTCTTCACTAGTAACAAAAGATAAATACATACTTTGGGCATACTAGGAGTGCTTTTTATATATTTATTGTTGACTTTTAACATTTTTCCATTTTGTGACAAATTATTGTCATTCAATTTCTTTTTAAACAATCTTAGAATATCATTTCTGATATTTTGTTGTTGACTTATAAAAATATTTTTCTCTTACTTTTCGGTAAATATACATTGAAAACCTATTGCTGATAACACATTTAGAATTTTACTTGTGCTGTCTTTGCACTTGTCTGGACAAATCACTGATGTCTGGCATGATCATACCAAGTGGTTGGTAGATTTATGTCCTCTTTTTGTCCAATTCGGACCTCCATACCCTTTTCTCTGTACCACGATACGATGAAGTTCTCTCCCTTGTCAAACAAAGCGCGAGGCCCGGCTTTTACTCGGAGCTACTAATGTAAATAATGAACTTTTATCAGTAAAATATGCATTGTTTAATAAAATGAATGATATCTGATGTAGAGAACACGAATAATCATAAAGGTTAGTGAGTGCATTTTGTTCCGTTTAGCGTACATGACAGGTACCGCGATACCCCGAGGTTGCAGGCTAATTAACGTGATTGGAAATTGAAGGAACTGTTGTTTAGTGTACTTAATAAATCCAGAATGATCTATCATGTAATTAACGTGATTGATAATTGAAGGAACTGTTGTTTAGTGTACTTAATAAATCCAGAATGATCTATCATGTAATTAACGTGATTGATAATTGAAGGAACTGTTGTTTAGTGTACTTAATAAATCTAGAATGATCTATCATGTAATTAACGTGATTGATAATAGAAGGAACTGTTGTTTGGTGTACTTAATAAATCCAGAATTGTCTATCATGTAATTAACGTGATTGATAATTGAAGGAACTGTTGTTTGGTGTACTTAATAAATCTAGAATTGTCTATCATGTAATTAACGTGATTGATAATTGAAGGAACTGTTAAGTGTGATTATGTCTATTTAACCATCACTCATTAGTAAACACTAATCTGTGGGTGGGTAATTGTGAGTAGAATTATATTGGTTCAATGAAGACTGGGGTATGTATGAATATACAACCTATCATGTTTGAGTGAGTGAATGTGGTTTTACGCCGCTTTTAGCAATATTCCATCAATGTCGCGGCGGGGGACACCAGAAATGGCTTCACACATTGTACCCTTGTGGGGAATCGAACCTGGGCCTTCGGCGTGACGAACGAATGCTTTAACCACTAGGCTACCCCAGCCGTCGTTTGAAATGTTTAAATGTATTGATTTCAAAGGTATATGATTCCCATCAGCATTTTATATAATAAAAAACATGTACAAGTGTTCTTTGAGTACTTACTAAGCGTCAGTACAGTTCACATTTGGGATATAATATTGCTAACTTAAGATATTATCAATTGAAAATCAAACACATCATAAAATCAACCGAGAAGAATAGCCTCTTTCGCTCCTCAGGTTTAAAACATCAAAGCCAGAAAATTACGAGTGCCAAAACATATTCAACTGGGCGTCGGGTAACCTTGTGGTTAAAGCGTTCGCTCGTCACGCCGAAGACCCGGGTTCGATTCCCGACATGGGTACAATGTGTGAAGCCCATTTCTGGTGTCCCCCGCCGTGATATTGCTGGAATATTGCTAAAAGCGGCCTTAAACCATACTCACTCCACTGGTCGTTAAAGGCAATATCGCGGTGAAAAATGGATCATTGATAACACCGGGTGTTCATACTGACTTTATATAGACTGCATCCTAATAAGGGCATATTGATTATTCTGTAGGTCATGTGTACAATCCAAGGCCATTACAGGGAAGTGGAAAATGTTGTCAGTAATCCAGGACAGTGAAACCACAACTCAAACACAGTGTAGCCCATGTGTACATGGGAGCGCTCACATACTTATCGCCAACACCTGATGTTATCAGGCGGTCTGTAAATAATCGAGTCTGACCAAACTATCCAGTGATTGACTTCATGAGCATCGATCCACGCAATTGGTATTCGATGACATGCATCAACCAAGTCAGTGGCCTGACCACCCGATCCCGTTATTCGCCTCTTACGAAAAGCATGGTCGCTTTTTACAAGCTTGGGTTGCTGAAGACCTATACCTATTCAACGTCGCATATTGGACGACGTTATTTTTGAGAGGGAAGGGTCTAGTAATTTGTTCCCCATAGACGTAGCTGGGTTACGCAGTGGCCGAACGATCGCATCCCAAAGTGGTAGAGATATGAAAATCGTTATCAAGAGAAAAGGTACAGATGACCGAAGTGAGGAATGTGAGAATATGTGGGAAATACCAAACTTAACCCACCTGTTCGTAAATTGGACATTTCAGAGTAAATATATTTAGTGAATATGTATGAAGCTTGTACATTTTATCAAAATCATAAATGAGGCTCTACGTAATGTTGATCTCTTATATAAGGAATAAATGACTCGTGGGTATTGTTTATAGTACAATCAAACACTGCAGGGAGAATAAACCACTCGGGACTGAGCTCCTCGTGGTTTATTCTCCCTGCAGTGTTTATTATATGATAAACAACTCCCACTCGTCGTTATTTCTTAAATAAGTCATCAATCCTAACTGTTACTTGTAGGGCAAGTATGGGTTGCTGAAGACCTATTCTACCCAGATGACATCATATGTACATTTGTTTTTTTACTGTTTGCAGACACAAGTACACTGTGTTTTTACAGCCAGCAGCCATGCAGACGGACAGAGTGTATGTTAACTGGAGAGGAGTTGATCATACAAGACAAACCTTGAGCCTGAACCGCCTCTACAGCAGAGATTCCTGGGATCGAGATGACCCAGTGCTGATACACACGTTTTCTCAACATACCTGCCATACGAGGCCCCGTTCCATTGGAAACCTCATTAACCAGCCACCGTGTCTTCCGATGCCTTGTGAGATTAACAGTTACTACAACTTTGACCAACAAGAGCCCATTTACAGCACCGTGAATAACACGGCGAAGAAACGAGCCATATGCTTCGAAAACAGCTTGTTCGATGAGACTGCCTACAATTTGATAGACGATAGAAAATATACAGTTGATGTTATCAACATGAGTGCTGATGGTACGCCATGTTTGCTACCAGAGATGCAGAGGCCACTACATCTTACTGGAGGAGAGCCATCTCCAGTAACGTTCCGAAATCGACCACGCCCTTGTCTGTCAACGATTCAGCCAGAGAACATATATGAACCTGTTGGGAATCGCAGAGCAGTCACCGCCCAGCAGCCTGTCCATGGTCAGTACATCAGCTTTGAGAGAGCTCTATCGATGGACGAAACACCCCCAATTCCTCCAAGGGATAAAATCAATCTTGACCAGCGTGACAGCTTCCTTTGCAACATGGCCCGAAATGAGAGGGTTGAACATACCAAGTCATATGACAAAAAGATATGCCTGCCAAGGCAAATGCAGTCCGAGAGTATGGCCGGAAAGTTATCTTGCCAAACAAAACAGAGGGCAACCCTAAATCCATGTCAAGAAAGAATGAACAGCTGCTGCCGAAACTGCAAATCGATGGGTTTGACAGAACAGCCATTATCACTTTCAGAAACATATATCGATATGAAGAAAGCACACAGGGAGACTGGGGCTGGGTTATCACAAAACATGGAATGGGACTATTATGACATCGGCAAGGTCTCGTCGGAACAGTCGACTGCCATGACACAAACATCAGAGTTTGAACACAGGTATTTTCATTATCATAAGATCATTTACATAATTGTAACCAATTACCGTATTCGACGTAATAAGCGCCCACGGCGACATTTGCTTATATATTGGCTAGTGAACAATCTCATTTAGCACCCCTTCCGATTGATCAATGTACATAAGACTTATTATTTCACGTATAATACGCACTCGTGTGCTACATGCACCCTTAATTATGGGCAATTACATTCTGGAAAAATATATCTGTCGTATATAAACATTTCAGGCTGTCAGCATAAACCACCAAATTTATCTTTAACTCTGTTTTTTTTCACCAAAGTAATATTCTAATAAGAGCCCCCTATTACTAATTTTGAGTGCGCCCTGGGCGCTTATTACGTCGAATACGGTATAGCAATATAAGGAATAAAAGCAAAAACCCTTTCCATATTTATAAGAAATTTCTGCAATGAGCAAAGTCGATTGTACGGTTTCTATTATAATAAGCATGACCTTCCAAATGATGTGACTGGGCCACATTGATTATTATGGTACTCTACAAACTCTAGTTTCTTATTGTCTTTATTTTTCAGACAGCCGAAAATTTTGTCTCGCACCAGCAGTATTGACACACTTTCATCGGTGGCCACTTCCATTCAGACACCAGCTTGGTTTGATGATCTAATAACAACCTCCTTCGCCAACTATGCTTTGGGAAACCAGCGCCACAGCCGCAGTATGGGCACATTGCCAGAGTCGATAGGTAAGTAGACCTGTGAAGATCCTGGGTAGAATAGGTCTTCAGCAACACATGCTTGTCGTAAGAGGCGACTAACGGGACCGGGTGGTCAGGCTTGCTGACTTGGTTGATGATGCATGTCATCGTATTACTATTGCGTGAATCGATGCTCATGATGTCAATCACTGGATTGTCTGGTCCAGCCTCGATTATTGTCAGACCGCCGTCGTATAGCTGGAATACTGCTGAGTGCGGCGTTGAACAACAAACAAAACATTCGTAAAGCAACTTGTTACTGTATGATGCATAACCTGTTATTATGGTTACATTCATATCAACTTCACATGTTATGACAATTATAGTCTTCATAATGAGTTATATATTTCTTGGAAGATAATCTCTGATATGAATGTACCACTAGGTATTTAGTAGATATGTTACAGTAGATATTGTTATGTTTTGAACCATTTTGTAATTTCAGGTAGCATGGACTTCACTAACAACATCAAAAGAGATCAACGAGTCTTCGCAAAGACACATATGTACCAATTAGTCAAATCTCAGTTCAGACGAGATGGTCATATCGTCATCACTGGTAGGCCAGGGACAGGGAAGACAGCGATGGCATATCAGATTCTCCGAGATATTGTTGCTGAAGGGGCAACTCCAATTGTAGTTGACTCCCCTGGAGACTTCCCAGATCGTAAACCTAGTGGAAATGTGATCATCCTGATTGACGACATGTTTGGCTCATACAAATATGAAGAGCATGATATTGACCTGTGGAACAAGATCTTGAAAAAGCTGGAAGGAATCTTGGATGAGCAAACTAGAAAGCAGAACCGGCATCTGTCATTCTTCTTTATTTGTACCTCAAGGACATATGTTTTGAGAGAAGCACTGCCCTTTCTTGGAAAATATAACAGCACAATTTTCAGCAGTCAGTATATCGTTGACCTGGGGAAAGAGGACGGCTATACAAATGTGGAGAGGATGAACATACTTGACAACCACACCCAGGAAGGAACGCTGCGGGGGAATACAATTGATCGTGCAGAGAAAGAAGACATTATTCACTGCAGTACGTATGCATTCCCACAAACCTGTCAACTCTATTCAGCAAGTCAACAACTACCTGGAAAATCATTGCTCTTCTTCCAATGGCCAGTCAAGTACCTGGTGGACATTCTCGAGCCCCTCTACCTGAGCGACAAAAAGAAATTTGCTGCTTTGCTCTTGATTGCAATCTATAGGAACAAACTGAATATCACACCACTTTCAAATGACAAGAATGTTGACGATGATTTCAAGGAAAGTCTTCGACTTGCTGAGAAGTACACAGATGTCAAGGATAAAAAACTATCCCCATCAGAAATCTATCAAGATCTCAAGATAATGACTGGAAGTTTCGTCTCATTAAATGGGGATTCAGTTTCCTTCCTTCATCCAGTCATATACGATGCTGTAGTTTACATTGTCGGTGAGAGAAGTTCTGAATTTGTCCTGAAACACAGCACCATGAGATTCATCTATGACAGAGTCCGACTGATCCCATCAACTGAATCTGGAATAGTCTCTCGGCCAACAGAAGGGGACAGGTCACAGTTTTTGCTCCATTTGGCACCAGCTCACTTCCAATCATTGGCAAAACGTTTCGGGCAAGAAATTTCAGCTGGACATTTTGCTCTCGTTTGTGCGCATGAAGCATGTGTACTTCCTGAGTTTGTGGAGATCTTGTTTGACTACCTGAAGCGTAAAGGGCGAGTGGCACGATCAGCTTCGAAACTGTCTAAGAGGTTGGGAGCCCGATCTACAATCCACAATTCAGACGTCATGTATGGTGGCAAGTTCCTATACTGGACGGTTTGGAACAAATCCATGGAACTTTGTAAGATCTTTCTCGAGAAATTGCTCTTTACAAAGAGAGAAAAATGTCAAGCTGTCATAGGATGTTCCCTATCTGGAAATGTCCAGGCAATGTCACTCCTGTTGGATTCACTTGGATCAGAACATGTAACATATGAACTAGATCCCACCATGCCTTACCTGATGATGGATCAGCCAGAACGTGCACAGAAACTTGTCCTACAGATAGTAATCCTCGGTTCAACGCCACTACACATTGCATCAGAGAGAGGTCGACTTGGAATCGTGAAGCTTCTGCTATCAAGAGATTTTGACATCAACGAAAAGGGGCCGAGGGTAGCAGCAACTCCTCTCCACTACGCATGCCAAGGAGGCCACATGGACGTTGTCTGCTACCTACTGCAGAATGGTGCGGAAATCAACAGTCCTGACTGGGTGTTGAGGACCCCTCTGCACTGGGCTGCGTCTTGTGGAGAATCAGACATTGTTAAGATCTTAACGTTCAACAGTGCTCACCTTGATGTGAAGGATGATGAAGGGTTGACCCCCCTTCACTGTGCAGCATGGGGTGGACATTTGCAGACTTGCATTACTCTCCTGAATGGCGGGGCTTCCCCTAAAGTTCGGACTCGGTACAACAAGACTCCCCTAGAAATCAGCATTGATGAAAGCTTCAGAAGAAAGTTTCAAGACACAATCGGTATTGAATTAAGGGTTGTCAGTGTATGAGTTTATGGTTTTACGCCGCTTTTAGCATTATTCCAGCAATATCACGGCGGGGGACACCAGAAATTGAAGATCCGGGGTAGAATAGGTCTTCAGCAACCAATGGTTTCCGTACAAGGCGACTATGCTTGTCGTAAAAGGCGACTAACGGGATCGGGTGGTCAGGCTCGCTGAATTGGTGGCGTGGATCGATGCTCATGATATCAATCACTGGATTGTCTGGTCCACACTCGATTATTTTACAGACGGCCGTCATATAGCTGTAATATTGCTATAAAACAACAAACCTTCCAACCATCCATCCAACATGGTCTTTGGCGCTAACCTTTAACCACAAGGCTATCCGACCGCCCCTTTTTTTGAATGTTTATAGCATTATAGCGACAAAGTTGACACGATATCTATATTCGTTCATTGCAAAATAAACCACGAAATAATTGGTATATCTTAGTCAAAAGACCAGTTCATATTGCTTGACTTTCTGACTTACTAAGAGTTGTAAACATAATTTCAACAGCCCACATTTTTTACATTTAATATTTTGATCTTGAATTGCTTGTGAACTTTACACAACACGTGTTTGTTTCAGTTTTCGACTTTGATTGCTATGTGGACAATTCCGGCCAAGCTGCATTCAGGGTCGGACTCCGAGGACCGTTAATTCTGTCAGTGGCAGCATCTGCAATAATGATCAAGAGACCAAGGAACCACGAAATACTATTCGAGTGGACATTCAGATCAATCAGGCGTTTTGGTCACACTGAAATATCTTTCAAGTTTGAGGCTGGCAGAAACTGTGAGACCGGAGAAGGGGTGTTCATCCTGCTGACGGTCGATGGCGATGACATCATGGAGTGCATCAGGATGCGACTGAAGTCACAAGAAGAATCCGCTGACCCTGGGCTACTGGTACACAGGAGGGCGCCACCTATGTACTAAGGACGATGTCAGACGTGTGTATTTCATGTCCTTGGTTTCTTTGAAGATAAACCAACCAACAGTTCCAAGAACAAGCCACATCCAATTTGTTTCAAAGGTGTCAAATGATTGGTTGGTTGGTTCGTTGTTTAACGCCGCACTCAGCAATATCCCAGCTATATGACGGCGGTCTGTAAAATAATCGACTTTGGACCAGACAATCCAGTGATTGATATTATGAGCATCGATCCACGCAATTGGGATCGATGACATGTATCAACCAAGTCAGCGAGCCTGACCACCCGATCCCGTAAGTCGCCTTTTACGACAAGCATAGTCACCTTTTACGGCAAGGATGGGTTGCTGAAGACCTATTCTACCACGGAATCTTCACGGGTCGTATCAAATGAAAGACATAACATTCCAAGATTCCAAATTCAGACAGACTGTGTAAAACTATTTAAAATCGTGTCATAAACAGTGAAGCTTTATAAGCGAAGAAACTTTTAATCTGGATGTTGTGCTTAATACTTGTGTTACAGCTGAGACATTTTATAAATATAAAACTGTTTCATATATAATGTTTGTTTCTTTGTTGTTTAACGCCACACTCCAGCTATATGACGGCAGACTGTCTGGATCAGACAATCCAGTGTTTGACATCATGAGCATCGATCCAAGCATGCATAAACCTAGTCAGCTAGCCTGACCACCCGATCTTTCGACAAGCGTAGTCGCCTTTTACTGCAAGCATGGTTTGCTGAAGACCTATACTACCCCGGATCTTCACGGGTGCTGTTTCATAATGTGCACATTAAATATGTAATGGTTCTTTTCGCTATGCCATCGTAAGGGTTCCGGTTTAGAATTGGTGTCCAGCAACCGATGCTGGTCATAAGATGCATTTACGTGATCGGATTATTTTGTTTGCTGAGTTAGTTGATTGCGTAGATCGATGCTCATGACGTCAATCACTACATTGTCTAATCCAGACTCGAATATTTACAGGCCGCCGTTATATAGCTTGAATACTTGTGTGCGGCGTTAAACAACAAACACACATTGTTTTCCTTATGATTTATCATGTACAGTTTTGATAATGATTTCTCGGAAGAAATGTTTGCACGCTGCTATTTTGTCTGTGTAATTTGAGCATTGGGGGTGAAAGCAAGACATGTTTTATGGGCATATAATAGAACCACAAATAGTTTTGTGATTAGTAAATCTTAAGTTATGTGATGGAATAATTGAGACTTCACCGAGGGATGAAAGCCTATAAGGATTAGGTGAATGTTGCCGTATTATGAAGCCGTCGAGTACAAACAGGCGACACTGGAAGCGGGTTTCAAACGGTGATCTCATAGCAGTAATTCACCCCCCATCAATTGCTATCAGCTTATTTCAAATGGCTACACAGATTATTGCCGAGATTGTTTTAATTATGTTAAGTTATGAATTATTTATATCTTTTTATTTAGGGGACTCTGGTGGTCCAGTCTTCTAAGGCGCCGCGATTTACTGTGCAGAGTTGCGTCCCTTGGCCACGCCAGAAACCAATGATTGTGGGTTCGAATCCCGGTTCGCCCAGATTATGTTTCTAGGTTTGTCAGCACCATACCCGTGCTCGTGGGTTTCACCGAAGTGGTAAACGTCTGAGACCTGCATCACTTCGGGCTTTCCTCCCACGATAAGCTGACACGCCGCTATATAACAGGAATACTGTTTAAAAAGCGGCGTTAAACCCAACTCACCTACTCACTCATTTTATTTATGTACCTACAGTTTTTCTCGGGGTCTTATTTCGAATCTTTCTTTCGTGGATGCTTTCAATGCGCATTGGCATCCTCTTGTCAACTATCGTCACACAATGGCCGTGTGGTGGTGGTATGGTATTTCGGTTTTTGGCCGACGTAGGCCATTAACGGTCGTGCGGTGATTGATTGCAGTTTTACCTTCCTTCAAGTGTATCAAAATAACGACGTATGTCCAAATCTGTTGCAAAGCGTTGTGAACCTGCAAGTGTATTTTCTGAAGGATCTCGTTATTATAACATTTAAACTTGATATGCGACAATGTCTAATATATTCACCAATCACGATATTCAAAAGTGTTTGTTCGTTTGTTGTTTAACGCCGCACTCAGCAATATTACAGCTATATGACGGCTCCAAAAGTGACTAGTATCAGAGAAACCCATGCTTGCCGTAAAAGGCGACTATCCTTGTCGTAAAAGACGACTAACGGGATCGGGTGGCCAGGCTCGCTGGCTTGGTTGATACATGTCATCGATCCCAATTGTGAGGATCGATGCTCATGATATCAATCACTGGATTGTCTGGCCCAGACTCGATCATCTTACAGACCGCTGCATATAGCTGGAATATTGCTGAGTGCGGCGTTAAACAACAAACAAACAAACAATAGAAAACCTACAAAACCCTGTCCATATTTATAACAAAGCTCTGCCTAAGTCGATTAAACCATTCCGAGTATATCATGAGCATGTGTTTATAAATCACTGTCAAAAGCTGATGATACAGGGTGTTCCAGTAAGAGGAGCACATCCTGCCCATCGATGGCACCACAAACACATCAAAAGACAAGTCAGTGGTTCACCTGAAAAAAAACCATGGGATCATTTAGTACAAGTTAAAGTAGGGAATTGCATCGGACATCATTTTTGTCACTGATGCTTCAAATTTTGAAATTTAATCATAAATAAAGTCCATAGTGCATTCCAACTGTATGATAAGCATGGTTTTATCAATTATTATTTTATTGACTGATTATGTTAATTTTGAAGTGTTTGCCCATTTTTTATCATGCTAAAAATGTCATTTGGTTTCACATGATTTTGCTTTGTACCAACGTTGTTTTCTTAAAAATAGATGTTTTTTACGAAACTGTCGTTTAACAAGGAAACCAGTTAACCTTTAAAAAAAACAACCTCTACTTAGAGGTCCGGGTAGCTTGTATCGTTTTCGTTTGGATAGTGATGATATTTCCTGCTGGATATTATTGCATTTACCTCAAAAGCTATATGACTTTAATTATTTGAAACTTGACGTCCGTGTTGAAATTGTCCCGACGTTTCGAAGTTGGTTCTGGTTGAAAGTATTAATACTCAGTGTTGTTATTCAAATGTTACCAAACATGATTTGGATGTGACCGATGTAATATTTTGTGTTGTACATATTATATCAGTACAGCTCTATGTATACTTGAAGGAAATACATTTTACGAATCTTCTCTCATTTCTTCTTCTACTCTGTTATGCATTAAACTCCCGTAAAGATCCGGGTTAGAATTGATCTTCAGTAACCATTGCTTGTCGTAATAGGCGACTAACGGGATCGGGTGGTGAGGCTCGCTGACTTGGTTGATGCATCGCATCGTGTACCAGTTGCGTGGATCTATCGTGGATGTCAATCACTGGACTGTCTGCCTTGAAAGGCGACTATGTTTGTCGTAATAGGCGACTAACGGGATCGGGTGGTGAGGCTCGCTGACTTGGTTGATGCATCGCATCGTGTACCAGTTGCGTGGATCTATCGTGGATGTCAATCACTGGACTGTCTGCCTTGAAAGGCGACTATGTTTGTCGTAATAGGCGACTAACGGGATCGGGTGGTCAGGCTCGCTGACTTGGTTGTTGCATGTAATCGTATCCCAATTGCGTGGAACGATACTCGTGTCAATGATTGGATTGTCTGGTTCAGACTCAATTATTTACAGACCCCCGTAATGTAGCTGGATTGGTTGGTTGGTTTGTTGTTTAACGCCGCACTCAGCAATATTCCAGCTATATGACGGTGGTCTGTAAATAATCGAGTCTGGACCAGACAATCCAGTGATTAATATCATTAGAATCGATCTACGCAATTGGGATCGATGACATGCATCAACCAAGTCAGCGAGCCAGACCACCCGATCCCGATAGTCGCCTTTTACGGCAAGCATGGGTTGCTGAAGACCTATTCTACCCAGGAATCTTCACGTAGCTGGAATATTGCTGAGTGCGGCGTTAAGCAGCAAACAAACAAAACAGTATATTTCAAAGTTGCTTATGTAAGTGGCTTCCACACAAGAACATATATCCTCAGAAAAACTCAGCCTTGAAAGAGCAGACTGATCGGAGTAGCGTTGTGGTGATATGGGTTATTTAAAGCTATATTCAAGATTATTTCACTCAAATAGCGACCTGCATGAAGGTGTGGTAGTGTTGTTTGCCAACTGTAGAAGCCTGGACTTATGCCAGGCTCATAGTGCGTGCCCCCTGAGTGACCATATCGCTGTTTATCATTGATACACACACATTATATTGATTCCTTAGCCGTGCCGCAGGTAAGGTAACAACAAGTACCATCTTTTGCCGTCGCTTGGTGTGACGCGGCCGGAGAACCATCGTACCATCTCCCGTGAGTGAGTGGGTATGTTTTTACGCCGCTTTTAGCAATATTCCAGCAATATCACGGCGGGGGACACCGGAAATGGGCTTCACATATTCTACCACCGTGGGGAACACCCGGCAGAGATTCGAGTAGACGTGTACCTACACATCAAGGGCAGGTATGAAACTCCCAAAAAATTCAGCCAGACCACAGGACTGGCTAGCTGAAATACTTGCCAGCCCTGACCAAAACCTGCCTGCCCACTATAATCATATGTTTCTCAGGATAATTTAATTAAAAATATGAAAACTGATTGCTTGTAGCATAAGCGCATCGCTAAATGTTAGGTTGTCTAAAAGCTAACGAGATTTCTTTTTGGTTACATTTTATCATTCTCCTTTACATGTGAATTAATGCTTATCATCGGGAAATATTTAGATTAATTCCACCTATGAAATAAGACCCGACCGTCGGGCAGGGGGATTTGAAAATCTGGCAGCCCGAGTTGAAATCAACCCGTCTCGGACGGTCGGGCAGGCAGGTATTTCGAACGCTGTCAAGGGTGCACGATATCGACCTGCAGTGTGAATACAGTGCTACAATGTACATTTCCTCCATAACGCCAGGTTGACGCCTGTTATAGCAGCTCTCGTTGCCTTGCACGAGTAGTTAATACATCATAAATCTGCCACATGTCAGTGGAACGGCTGTGTGTGTTCTGGCGGGAGGTATGATAAACAGATTTGTCACTGACTCGTGCATTGATTTACAATGTAATTGTGGACACATGACTCATTCAATTACTCATTTCCATGCTGCTCAAAACGGATACATATGAAACGTTGACACTTGTTCTATTATTATATACAGGCTATTCCTTGGTGTGCACGTAATAAATAGGGAAAAAAACAAAGTAAGTTTGAAGTCAAAATACTCTTTACAGCCCGCCGTCATATAGCTGGAATATTGCTGAGCAAACCAAACAATCGAATGCTCAAACATTATACTAATATGAATGATTTAGTAATTATGTATCAGGTCGATTTCGCATGAACGTTCTCAAGGCTGATGTTGTTGATTACATGGTTATACTAAACGGTGGCATATGGACTCAAGAAGGTTAATCCCTGCCAATTTAGACTAATCGTCTGTAATGGTCGTGATGCATGAGCTCAGGAAACCCATTCTGTTGATACAGGTTCTACTACAGTAAATCAGAACTGGTTGTGACAGTGCGGTTTTCTGGTTTTCAACCAAGTCAGCGAGCCTGACCACCCGATCCCGTTAGTCGCCTCTTACGACAAGCATAGTTGCCTTTTACAGCAAGCATGGGTTGCTGAAGATCTATTCCACCCCGGATCTTCACGGGTCTTTTTAAATGAACCGTATTCTACAGAGTAAAACATGGTATAACAGCCAAGCAGAATTCCGTTTTCACACAAATATAAATAGTCAGCGCCAGAGAATAATTTCGATTTTCTGCCCAAACAGATTCCATTAGTCGTAGACCCGTGAAGATTCCGGGATAGAATAGGTCTTCAGCAACCCATGCTTGCCGTAAAAGGTGACTATGCTTGTCGTAAAAGGCGACTAACGGGATCGGGTGGTCAGGCTCGCTGACTTGGTTGAAGCATGTCATCGATCCCAATTGCGAGGGTCGATGCTCATAATAGCAATCACTTGATTGTCTGGTCCAGACACGATTATTTACAGACCGCCGTCATATAGCTGGAATAGTGCTAAAAGCGGCGTAAAACAACAAACCAACCAAACAACCAACCAAGCCGTATCATGGCTGGTAAACTACGTATTTATGTACCATACCATATGACAATTAAAACATATATTGTGGTTTAAGGGGTTTATTTCGAGTAGAAAAGAAATGAACTGGATTACAGAAAATACATTCAACGTTGTCCTCAGATCTATGGCACACAATTGTATCATACGTATGTATGACAGGCATTCAGATATATATGATTCATGATATATCATGTTAAAACACACACAAAAATCATCCGGTTTCGAAAGGTCCATCTGTGCAACTGTGACTTCGTAACTACATGTGGTGAATCACGTTTCCGTGCGTCATTTTACTAGTGGCCATGAATAGAGACGGAAACAGATCAACAGGGAAACAACCACCTGGTTGCAACAAATCATTGAAAGTAGGGCACGTAGTTAGGAGGCACAGTCCCTGATGTCTTGATTTAGTGACTGTTTGCATTAGAAACACATGTCCACACTACACGTACAGCCGCTGATTTCGATTGCTATACCAGGACACATTCATATTTAATTTTCCCCTTTGCTGATTATTTCTCAAAATAAAAACACCTGATTCTTACTTACTATCGGGTGATTCTTCAACTTCTTTTGAGTAGTATATTACCATACATATGCAACAACAAATACAAGTATCTACTAAATGCAGGTGGCGGTCGTGTAGCCTAGTGGTTAAAACGTCCGCTCGTCACGCCGAAGACCCGGGTTCGAATCCCGACATGGGTACAAGTGTGAAGCCCATTTCTGGTGTCCCCCGCCGTGATATTGCTGGAATATTGCTAAAAGCGGCGTAAAACCATACTCACCCACTCACTCACTAAATACAGGCTACGTAACAACATAATTTAAACTTGCAAGGATTGGGATGGGATGGGATTTTGTTTGGAGACTACATACTAGGAATATTTATTTTCAGCGTCAGCTGCAAAATCAGATATTATGTAATTAAAACTATGAGCCTATTATTTTATATAATTTTTTTTCAAAAACCCAAACAAAAACGGCTTGCAAAAAATTATTTTTCGTGGTGGACACTTTTTTCCTACATTCTGAAGCATAATTATTTCTTTTCTCAAGAATTTCTGGAACAATATATCTTTTTTTGATAAAATCCAAGATAAAACCCCCCACCCGCCAACATATCAAATAGTTGGTCCCTAAATGTGTTATTTTTTAGACCTTTGTAATGATGAAATAATTAATCATTTTTTAATATTCGAATCATTTGTATGTTTTAACAAGATTCATTACCGATACCCATAATTCACGTGGAAGGGATTTGGTGTGTCGCTCATGTCAATGTCGACACATTTAGTCCATGAAAACAAAACATATACACACTTACGTGTACAATAAGTAATTACACTGAACGTACAGTACACGCCCAGCGATGACAGGAGAGTCAAACATTCCGTGTTTTAATGTTATCTTTAGACGAAGATTTACCTTGGGGTAAACGAATAAGACTACATGTATGTGACAAATTAGCATCATGTAACCATTGCCGAATACCAGAATTCTATGAAATAATTTCATGGTTTAAAATGAACGAAATATACACAGTAAAAGAACTGTAATACAATCTCACTGACGTGTTCGTGAAAAGGTGAGCGTATCCGGTCCCACCGGTGGCACCGTCACAAACACATGCAACAGCATGTTCACCCGACGCCGCTTTTACAATATTCATGTTAAGTTTATTGAGCTTAATGCAAGCTAGTATTAATCGATCTGTATGTTGTTATGCCATACGTGATCATTCAAGATGAGATTCGAACCTAAATGAGCAGATGTGAGCTGTATTGACGCTCCTCCGCATTTGACCCACCTTGCCTTAATCTGTACTGTCACGCATGCTCGTACAGACAAAGAAACTGTACTTAATGACACTAATACCAACAAACATTTTTGTTTGTTTGTTTGTTGTTTAACACCGCACTCAACAATATTCCAGCTATATGACGGCGGTTTGTAAATAATCGAGTCTGGACCTGACAATCCAGTGATGGACATCATGCACATCGTCCTACGCAATTGAGATACGATGACATGCTTCAACCAAGTCAGCGAGCCTGACCACCCGATCCCGTTAGTCGCCTCGTACGACAAGCATAGTCGCCTTTCAAAGCAAGCATGGGTTGCTGAAGACCTATTCTACCCCGGATCTTCACGGGTCACAAACACACACGGGTAATTATAATTCACGAAGAAGCCTCGGCTGCTCATATATTAGGACTCGACAATTTGATATTCAGACTGGAACGATGTTCCTTGCACATTTGTTCTTGTTCACAATTACCCCCCCCCCCCCCCCCCCCCCCCCCCCGATCTGTTCCCAAGGATCAACATTGTTTCCTGATAAATCTCACCTACTAAAATGTAAAAATATATCAAACTCCCGATTCCTACCCAAGGTTCATCACGGTTTCCTGATAAATCAGAAAATGTGAAAAACTATCATTTCCTTTTCTACATGTAAACACCCAGAGAAGTAAAGATTTTTATGACTGCCTGACCAGGAAATCGTATGTTACACTTCCTTAAACATTTGCATATCATTCAGTCACAATTTTAATCACATCCGCTAATCCATTTATGTATGATCTGATCTTCATTCTATCAAAGAGTTGGATCGTTAATGAAAAAAATGTTATTTTTAAAAACATGTACGATGAACAGTCAAAACTAAAGGCAACATATTCTATCGATGCCTTAATAAGCAAACATATTGACGGAAAAACACATTAGAAATATAATGAACACATTGGAGGCCAGTGGGTCTACAGCACTGGCGCCGCGTGTGCAAGAATTGGGTGGGGAAGGAAAGGGGCTCTCACAGTTTGGCACGGACATACTGCTGCATAGATCTGTACTGGTAAGATTCCTGAGATGGGCATGGCGCAATGACGCAGGCTTGTTGCAGATGATGTCTTCAAGTCTCAATCCAGAACCGGTCTGACTTGCATCTAGTAACCACACAAGTCCACAGTCGCAGTTGAAATCGAGGCTGTGAAAGCTGAAATTACTCCCCATCTGTGATCGAAGCTTTTCTAGGGTATTGCATTCAAGATAAGTAAACGTGGCATGGTAAATATCCATGACTCTTATATTAGTAAAATCTTCTATTGCAGAACTTTGCATTTCGGTGATGTTCATGTCAGCCATCATGAACTCATGAATATTACTGAACTTGTACATTGCAAAGGATTGGATGAGGGCAACGTCTACTGCATGCATCCGGAACAGCTGAAACCCCTGGATGTTGTTGAAGGCGTAGGACTCAATCCTGCTTATGGTCGATGAAGACAAACTGAATTCCTTCGTACTAGTGACGTGTATATTCCTAAATGCGTTTGCTTCAATTGTGCCAATCTCACAAAGTTCCATGTTTATGCTAACCCGGTTTCCTAATGAGGTAAAGGCACATGGCCGGATGACGCCAATATCGACTTGCCGAAAGTAGATGCTCTCAACATTCGGGACATCCATGAATGCATTTGGTGGTATCTCGGGTAGAGAGGACAGAAATATCTCCACAATAGTAGCCGATGTTATGAAGGGTCGAGGAAACGCTGTCAGTTGCAAACAAGTCATGCGGTTAAGTTTACATGTGCATCCGGTTACGCAAGAGGTCTCACAAGTCACGGAATATAGCGCTGACAGGAGAATGAGTACCTGAAACGAATGAAACATTATTGAAACTATGTTTTGTGTATTAATGTGTTGGTTTACACCGCAATGTTCCAGCTGTATGGTTACTATTATCAGCAACTGTCCATCCCGTCGATGTTGGTTGGTTGGTTGATTTGTTGTTTAACGCCGCACTCAGCAATATTCCAGCTATATGACGGCGGTCTGTAAATAATCGAATCTGGATCAGATATTTCAGTGATTAATAGCATGAACATCGATCCACGTAATTGGCATCGATGACATGCATCAACCAAGTCAGCGAGCCTGACCACTCGATCCCGTTAGTCGCCTTTTGCAGCAAGCATGGGTTCTGAAGACCTATTCTACCCCGGATCTTCACGGGTCTCCCGTCGATGTACGATGACACACAATAATATGACACAATAATAATCACAATCATTATCACGGCGCGCCAGCTTAATGTAAGAGGAAGTGATGCATGTCTTAGATGTTTACCACTTTGGTGAAACTCAATTCCACGCGTTCGATGCTGAGAAATACAAGGGTCCTAATCAAGGCGGAACTGGGATTCGAACCTACGATCACAGGAATCCGGAACTCCAAAATGAAAGTATTTCTTCACATCGAATTGTCTCATTTCTTCACTGTAGCAGAAACAAACTAACTGCACTTAACCCATATATATACCCCTCGTAAAACAATAAGCACAACTCACTAGCCGTCATATAGCTGGAATATTGCTGAGTGCGGCGTTAAACAACAAACAAACAAACAAACACAACTCACTATTATTTCCATACAAGTTATGCTTACCGTAAAAGGCGACTATGCTTGTCGTAAAAGGCGACTAACGGGATCGGGTGGTCAGGCTCGCTGACTTGGTTGATACATGTCATCGATCCAAATTGCGTGGATCGATGCTCATGATATCAATCACTGGATTGTCTGGTCCAGACTCGATTATTTACAGACCGCCGTCATATAGCTGGAATATTGCTGAGAGCGGCGTTAAACAACAAACCAACCAACCAACCAACCATGGACCACGGAGGCGGTTCCGATCACAAGTACTTCAGTAAGATGACAACCCAATCTAAACGGGAGCGACAAATGTATTGTGACTTTCTAAATAAAAGAAACCAAGCCATTTCCGTAACCAAAACCAGAGTCCGTTCTATGATTCCGAATATATCCTTAGTGAGTGAGTGAGTATGGTTTGACGCCGCTTTTAGCAATATTCGAGCAATATCACGGCGGGGGACACCACAAATGGGCTTCACACATTGTACCCATGTCGGGAATCGAACTCGGGTCTTCGGCGTGACGAGCGAACGCTTTAACCACTTGGCTACCCGACCGCTCCTCATATCATATGACTCAAATGCTGAATTTATTCTGAACATGGGTTAATGAATCACTATCAGCTAATGATGACACCAGGTGTTAACGAACGCGTTTTACTCGTGTTGAATTACTTAATAATAAATAAAGCGAAAAAAACCCTTTCCATATCCAATAGAAATCTCATTAAACAATGTCTATTGTACGATTCCGACTATATCATGAGCATGTGTTTATAAATCACTATCAAATAGTAATGATACGAGGTATTCGCGAATCGTATCCTGCCCCATTGGTGGCACCCTTCACAAACACATGCAAAGGCAAGTCAATGGTTCACCTGGAAAACGGGAACGTATGGCACAATTCAAAATAGGGAATTGCATCGGAAATCATTTTTGTCACTTATGCGTCAAATTTGGAAATATCCTCCGCATGTCTGCCGTAAAGCGTTTTGAATGAATTAGTGAGTTAATATTTAAAGTCACATCGGCAATATTTCAGCCATATCGTGACTTGAACAAGTTATGCATTATATTATATATAAAAATGTCAACAAAGGACAGTACAACAACTAGCAATATATCACAGATTATAATGGTAAAACTAGTTTTAGAACAATAAAATGATCACATTATAACAGACGACACATTATAAAAACGGGCTGTAGATCGCCAGCAACCAAAGTTAGGCCACCATACTAGGAACCATGGGGACCTCTGCTACCTACATGGTATCCCAGCAGGATTTACACCATCCCTCTGGCTACTGGCGATGATCAGGAAGATTAGCCAAACAGTTAAAATCAACAAAAATACTACGATTAAAATCACAGAGAAAAAAAAAATACTTTGAATGATACTGGACTTACGTACCCTCTCAGGGGGACAATTAGAGTCCTTGAGTGTTGTAACCGTGGTCAAAGAACTTTTGAGGAAGAGTCGTATGACACTCTTTGATTTGTTTGTTTGTTTGTTGTTTAACGCCGCACTCAGCAATGTTCCAGCTACACGACGGCGGTCTGTAAATAATCGAGTCCGGACCAGACATGAGCATCGATCCACGCAATTGGGACACGATGACATGCATAAACCAAGTCAGCAAGCCTGACAACCCAATCCCTCTTTGAAATCTTGGTAGAAAGAGCATCTCGATCGTATCTCAAAAGTTGTGAAATGTAAAGGCTGGATCTGCTGAAATATTGTTCGACAGAAAGGGAAAGTTAACTGTTGAAAAGGTGAAGTCATCCTTCTAGATCTTATCATATAATTTTGTATACATGAATTTGGGCTCACCCGCCATTGCACATATATGACCGAGCAGCGGCGCCATTAAACAATCCAGTTGAAACAATTATTCAGATCGTTACTTCAGATCGTAAAACGTTGAAAAAATATCATTTTGTACTTACTGTAAGAATAGCCATGTTTTACTGCGTCGACCTTCCAACAACTGCGCTCGGGGATAAATGTCGAGCTGATTCGTTCTGTAAACTGTAGTGTGGTCTGGACACTCTTTATTGCTGTTCATTGCTCTCGAGTAGTCATACAGGAAACTTTATGGCTGCGTGGTGTATTTAAGGCGTGGCGGTATTTGTACAATGCGCGTCTGTGTGGCTGGATTGGTACTCTTAATGAATATATTTGGTAGTTATGGATAAGAGGCATTTCGTTGTACGCGTTGTTGAGATGTTCCGCTGCTCGCCAGGAACCTTTACAGTGGGTGAGTGTGTGAGTATGGTTTTACGCCGCTTTTAGCAATATTCCAGCAAATATCAAGTCGGGGGACACCAGAAATGGGCTTCACACATTGTACCCATGTCGGGAATCGAACCCGGGTCTTCGGCGTGACGAGCGAACGCTTTAACCACCAGGCTACCCGACCGCCCCCGGAAACCTTTACAACAAACAAATAGACTGTGTTGCTAGTTATCAATTAAGAAGTATATTCTTGATATGCAGTATACATTGGATTGGTCCGAAACTAAATTAACCCGAAAGGCGGTTTAGACATCATGTTCTTTACTTTGAGATTCACATCCAAACTCTTGACATATATTTTCTTGAGTATAGTGCGCAAAAAAACACTGCTGTGTAGAAGGGGGTGCGCATAATACACGAAATGATTAGTTTTGATGGGTTTTTTCCCCATGTAAAGATATTACCGTGAGCACGTAACACCGGAAATACCATGTCAACAAATCCATACTGAAGTACGCAAAATCATCCTGTAATTACACTGTCTGGCTAAAAAAGTGTTCTTTGTATATCTTGACTTATGTATGTAACTTATTTCATTAATTTTATTCAAAATTCCTTTTAATATTGTTTTAATTAATTTCGGCGAAATCGTGTGTGAAGCGATCGGAAGATCGCACAACTCACCGTTATTAACAGCAACCACGGTCAGATTACCGCTATTGACGCCTTGACACGAACATTAGTTGGCAGAGAATGGATACATATATCATAAATGCCATACTTTGATTCGCTAAAAGTCATATTTGTTATAGTTTGACGATTCTATGTCAACACGTAGTTCTCGAGAAAATACACAAGGTAATCTTAATCCCTGGATGTATAACAATGCCTAGCAGAACAAAAAATACAATTCAAACGGTAAATAAAAATGTCTGGTGATTTTTTATCTCAAATTTCGAATTTGTTCTGACCAAGTTTCTCATCACCCGTTCGTTTACCGGAATTCGCTGAAGGGGTAGATCTACGGTGTAATTGTTTTCTGCGCTTAACATACTCTAATTTGTATTCTTTGATTGGTATACTAGAAGATAGGTAAGATATTGATCGATTTGTATGTATTTTCCTTCTCTACACTGGTGAGTCCCGTCCGTGCAGTTTGTTTGTTTGTTGTTTAACGCCGCACTCAGCAATAGTCCAGCTATATGACGGCGGTCTGTAAATAATCGTGTCTGGACCAGACAATTCAGTGATTAATATCATGAGCATCGATTCACGCAATTGGGATCGATGACATGCATCAACCAAGTCAGCGAGCCTGACCACCCGATCCCGTTAGTCGCCTTTTACGACAAGCATAGTCGCCTTTTACGGCAAGCATGGGTTGCTGAAGACCTATTCTACCCCGGAATCTTCACGGGCCCGGTCTGTTAATAATCGTGTCTGGCCCAGACAATCAAGTGATTGATATTATGAGCATCGACCCTCGCAATTGGGATCGATGACATGCATCAACCAACTCAGCGAGCCTGACCACCCGATCCCGTTAGTCGCCTTTTACGACAAGCATAGTCGCCTTTTACGGCAAGCATGGGTTGCTGAAGACCTATTCTACCCCGGATCTTCACGGGTCCAGGTCCGATCCGTGCAGAAACAAGCAGCTTGGTGAAGTATATACGTGCGCCGGAACAGTTGAAATAAAGAGGTTGTAAAATTGCCGTGTTAAATGTTTCCCTATCCGATGAGTTTTCGGTTAAGACAAAATATCAGACGAACTCCAATGGGATGTTACTGAATATATAAAGACAATCGTCTACCTTTCACGAACACTATCCCGCAGTAAAGATTGCTGGCCTTCATATCAGGAGTACAAACTGAAATTGAAATTCTAATTACCGTTTAGAAGTGTAATAGGAGTGCTGCAAAGATATGTTCTCTAAGTACAACGCTTAGTGAGTGAGTGAGTAGGGTTTTACGCCGATTTTAGTAATATTCCAGCAGTATCACAGCGGAGGACACCAGACATGGGCTTCACACATTGTACCCATGTCTGGATTCGAACCCGGGTCTTCGGCGTGAGGAGCGACCGCTTTAACCACTAAGCTACCCGACCGCCCAATAACGCTGAGTGTTGTAACCGTGATTATATAGCCGAAAGAGCAAAAATGGCGATATGAGAGATTCGTTTAGCGCATTCTTCGTATCGAATCGCATGCTCACACATGCTAACACAAAGTTACTTGACAGGTGTGATAGTGAAAGATAACTGGCCCTCCTAAAAATATACTGGCTACGGCATAGCGGGCAGGCAGCTATTTTCAACGCTGACCAGATATGATAAAATCATTTATACATTGTACATGCTATATACGTTCAAGGTGTCACCGGCGATGTAAGTCATGTGATCTCTCCACCCACGCGCCAAGTCCATATATGAACGCAAAAACGTTTCCATGATTGTGTGCTGTCACTGTCAGATAAGATAGTTGCCACTCCTCGTACTCTTTGTTATTGAGCTATGTGTGACCGACATATTCATAAGCACTCTCAACAATATTTCAGCAACGATTTCTGGTTACTGGTGTATTTTGTTCTTCACGGGTGCCAAATGGATTCTGTGTACAGTAAACTACGGTTATAACGAACTCAAAGGGACCGCTAATTATAGTTCGTTATAACCGTAGTTCGTTATATGCATATATACAGCATAACTACAGCATAAAGTCGGGACTAAAGAGTTAGTTCGTTTTATCCGTTAGTTCGTTACAAGCGTGTTCGTTATAACCGTAGTTTGCTGTATATGGTTTTATAAACCAAATGGATAATCAAGTGTGGTTGTACTCTTGCATTGACGGTTTACATAAATTGTATATGTGAGGTGAGGTGAAATGGGGTTTAACGTCGCGTTCAAGATTGCACAAAGCCTACCACTCGTTGTTTTAGCCCCTCAATGCAGATCGCCAAGCAGGGAAACAACAAGTACCACCTTTCAACGTCTTTTGATATGACGCGGCCGGTCGATCGAACCCCCGACCTTCCGAGACGGTTTAAAGTTTATATAAATCAGTATGTCAACCTTGCTGAGTGCGGCGTTAAACAACAAACCAACCAACCAGTATGTCAGCCTGAAATACATACAATGGGAAAGGATGTTTCATTATAGAAAACGTGGGATATAACTGATTATCCCGACAGTTGTCTTTCATAATGAGGGGCGGTCGAGTAGCCTAGTGGTTAAAGCGTTCGCTCGTCACGCCGAAGACCCAGGTTCGATTCCAGACATGGGTACAATGTGTGAAGCCCATTTCTGGTGTCCCCCGCCGTGATATTGCTGGAATATTGCTAAAAGCGGCGTAAAACTCACTCACTCACTCACTCACTCACTCACTCACTTTCATAATGACGTTTACGTTTTCATCAAATATGGGGCGATAGGGTAGCTCAGAACTTTAATGATTCGCTCGTAACTTTGAAGGTTTTAGTTCCATTCCCCACAAACGTAGAAGGCATGCAGCCTATTTCTGATGTCCCCTGTCATAGCATTGCCATATTGTTAAATGTGGCGTGGAATCATACTCACTCACTCACAAACCTGACCCGTCAGATTATTGGATCTCTATATAAACAAGGCATTTTTCGAGGGCTGGTCAAAACGTTCTCAGCCTAACAAACAAAACCAACAATTGTGAAAGTGTTTTTAATCTCCCTACTTTTTAATAAACTTCTCATATCGATAGTGAAGCTTTTCAATTCCAGTCAGGAGAATTTTTCTGAAGCCACACTGAAACACCTATTTACGGCAGCTTCGAGGTGATTGCTGCGGTCATAGCGCTTTCCACGAAGGTGTTCTTTCAGTTTAGGAAACAGGTGGAAATCACTTGGTGCCAGGTCTGGCGAGTATTGAGGGCCAGGAAGCTCTTCGAACCCACATTGTCGCCCAGTAGCCTTTGCCATTCGAGAGGCGTTAGAAGAGGCATTGTCATGAAGCAGTAGTACTCTAGCAGTCAGCATTCCTCGCCGCCTTTCTTTGATAAAATATCTCAGCAAAGGAAGCAAATAAGCATAGTATACACTGGTAATCGTCTTTCGACTTTCAAAGTAATCAACAAGGATCACACCCTTTTCATCCCAGAATACAGTGGCCAAATCTTTTTTCTCTGATCTTGAAGACTTCAATTTCTTTGGGGCCGGAGAAGTGGAATGGTGCCATTCCATGGATTGACGTTTTGATTCGGGATCATAGTGGTAGACCCATGTTTCATAACCCGTTACTAATCTCGTTTTGACGAAATCCTCCTCAATTCGCTCTACATTTTCTCTGGCAATGTAAGTTTGTTTGGCCTAAAGATCATAATTTAGAAACGTTGGCACCCAACGAGCAGAAAACTTATTTGTCTGTAAATGTTCATGAATAATAGTTTCAATGGATCCATGGCTCAGACCTGTGTCTTCCTCAAGTTCAGCAATGGTAAGACGTGTATCTGACAGTATGACAATCTCCTTGATTGAACTTTCACTGATGGAAGTTGACCAAGGGTCTTCATCAAGGCCTCTTCTCCCGGCCTTAAACATAGCTGCCCAATGCATAATAGGCCAATAAAGTTTTGCAGTCACTAAAAACAAACATTATCGATTTTCATAAGTTACCTTTACATGTTTTGACTAAAACAATTTGATGTCAAGCTTCTACCACTTATTCACTTAAAGTAAACCAATATATGAAAATTATTAAATATTGGACTAGATTGTTATTTCAAACTGATAATCCTATTTTGAAAAATGGCTATGATTATCAAGTGTCCTTGGCGGATAAAGGTATTGAATGTTGGGCTTTTCATGTAAAACAATTATTATCATCA